TTACTCATTGAAGAACCACTGACAACATTCATTGCCATAAAGAGAAAGAATGGCCAGGTGGAGTGTTTGGGGGATCTAGAGCCGTTCACAGACGCTGAAGATATTCCCTGGCAGCTTCAATACTTCAGGGGACCATAAGAATATTGTTTTATTACAGAAGTGGTTCTAAGAATTAAATGGACCCTTTTACAAGTTGTAGGATAGAGGTCATGGCACTTAAATTTTCTGTGAGAAGCAACTGAGATAATGTGAAAGCACTCTAAAAATAGTGAATGAAAGTCTAGACAAAACTTGAGTTATTACCGAATACTTTCGAAAAGGAAAAATGGGGTAGAGATGGGGAGAAGAGACTGACACCTTTCCTCCCATAACTCTTTTCCTAAATTAGAACTATTCTTTGCTTTACCCTAGATATCCCCAACTTCTATTAAATATAGTCATCTTTGACTTTTTAGTCCTTTCAAACTAAATACTAATTTTCCTCATCTGCCGAAGTGTTGAAAAGGCGATTTCATTTTATGTAATTACTGAAAAAAATAAAAGCAATGCACTGGATTAGTACATAATAAGGGGAGGAATAAGTATAAATAGAAATATGCAAATCAAAAACCAGTATGTTGATCATTCTAACCAAAGCATAGTATCTTTACCTCTCATTTACAGACATCATAGTTAAAAAGGACAGAAAAGTGAAGACTAACCAAATTACTCACTATGTACTGAAATATATTGCTGTAACTCACAAAGAACTACAGTGACCTGGAAAAATAAATAGGCTCCTATGTTTCTTATATTTATAAGTTACACTTCATGGTTTACAAAGCACTTTAACACATTCTCTCTCTTGAGCTATGCAGCAACCTTTAAGTCAAACAGAAATTATCTACATTTTACAGAAAAAAATTTGTCTTCAAGGAAATTAACTAATTTGCCCCAAATTAAAAGACCTGCCAGAGAAGTACCAAACTACAAGATCTATGAGAGACCATGAGCACATCTAGTGGCTTCCCCCATCACTACATTAGAAGGTATGTTTTGGCAGTTCCCAGGGGGTGGGAAGGTGGGAGAAGTAACAGAATCCCTTTTACAAATGAAATTTCAATTGGATCTGAACTATGCAATATATAAATATACAAAACAATGATTTTAATGTGTTTTAGTTATGAAGCAACAATTACTGTTAACAGGAAGTTTGTTAACAAATAAAACTATAACAGTAGAAATATAACATGAGTAGATACACGTGGGAAGGATATTTTTTTAACCATCTTTCTTATCAATAGCATATTAACAAAAAGGTTCAAATACATGTAGAAGCATAGCAGAACAAGCTTTAATTCACAGCCTGCACATAATAATCTTGTAACAAAAGATAACTTTTAAAAACAATTTGTTAAAATTTGGTAAAACATATTTTGGTGTAGCTGTATTTTTAAGTTACGACTTAAAAATAAGTGTAATTGTATTTAAAAAGGCATTTTAGGGCTTCCTAAAAAGCAGCTTGAAAACCATTGTATAATGGTTTGCTATCATATATTCACTGCTTCATCTCTACCTAGTTAAGATAAACTAAGATAAAATAAGTAAAAAGATAAATTAGTAAAAAACTGATTTTGACAATCAAAAAAAAATATATATATATAAGAAACCTAATTAACCAAGAGTACAGCTACAAAAATCAGCCAAAACAATTACACTCTACATTCTACTGAATGAACCTTATAAAATTGCTGTTAATTGACAATTTTAATTATAAAAGTGAGGTTCATATGGTTCAATTTAGTATTTCCCATTTTATTTTTGGAGTCCTTTCGCTTAAAAACCACCAAAAAGTTGCCAAAATAATTGATTATAGAAACAAAGTGGAAAAATGCAATACCCAACAAAAATCTATCTCTAGAACTACCTAAACACATTAAGAATTTTTAAATGTTAAAGTGCTATTTTATTCACTTCACTAGCACTGGCAGCTCCATACTCAAAAACATTGTAACATGCCCCCTTTCATTCATCAGAAGATTAGTGGACTGACGGTTACCTACCTTAATGCAGTTTGGTACTCCACTTTGAAATTTATCCAGTTGTCACCGGAATTTCTTCAAGAAACATGTATTTTACTTCAGAACTCATTAACTTTACCTAAGTGGAAGCATTTCCTTTTTTATTAAAAACTTTATTGAATTATTTCATTGATAACAGAACTTAGAAAGAGTTATAGATGTGAGGATAGTTTGTTGTTCCTTCATTTGTTTCCCTGTATGGGAAATATATTCTTTTTACTAACCTAGGCTACCAAATTAAGCATATTCAATATTTTAAGAAGTCTTTCTACTTTGGAAGACACTGAATCAAAATTGTAAAAGCACTTCTAATAATGTATGTGACTCTCATACAATATATAACTCAATTTTCGGACATTGTTTAAACCAAGTTATTTCATTGAAGGTGAATCCAGTTCCTTTTGAAGTCCCCTCCCTCCAAATTCAACACATTGCAACAAATTAAGCTACTTAAAGAAAAAAGCTTCATGCCACATAAAAGGTGACTCTTTCCCCATCATTAATGAGGATTATAACAGCAAAGAGTAATTCACACTGGGTGTGCATGAGTTTCATTCTTCATTATGAACTGAACTAAAATTCAAAATGCTATGACTCACTTGGTTATTACTGAACACTTTATTAAGCGGAAAACAAGATAAATTAAAAGAATCACACTTTCAGAGTTACAGATGAATTTTAAAGTTATATAGTTTCTATCAAAAAGAAAATCATCTTTATTAGAAATAAACTCTTACATGCTATTTTTAGAATGATGAAGAATTTAAAATGATAAACACTTGGTATCTTTTAAGAGCACTTAAGAATAGCACTCTTTAAAAGCTACAAATATTGCCAAGTCATGTCATAACTGGCTCAAACAATCCCATTTCCATCTAAAGTTATTTCATGCTACTGCATGAATCAATATTAAATACCTTGGAGTTACTAAAAGCTGGAATATTGGCAGAGGTACATAGCAATTACAAAATATGAAAATAGTGAATATCCATTTTCCATATACCTCTTTCTTTTAAGAATGACTAGAAATGAGGATGTTCTTTCTAGGCAAACAGAAATAAGTTTCTTAAAAGCTAAGAGAAAGATATAAAGAATGCCAGCAAAGAGCGATGATGGATCCATAGCCATGGTTCTCTTTAAAGAAAAACTAGATTTTGAAGCGTAATATCACCTCCAAACATTTTATTAGCCTACCAAATTGCCAGAGCCTTTTAAAAAAAAAAAAGTCAAAGTAAATATAGTCCTTTTGTTCCTTATTCAGTTAAAACAAAACAAAACAACTGGCTGTTATTTTAACCAGGCCTGAGTTTAATCAGATGTGTCTCAACCAACAATTTTTTCATGTTAAAGACATAACTTACCACTTTTGAAGTCAGGAAATAATAATAATAATTTTTTTAAAAAAGCTAGTTTCATATGACATCTGACCCTGAAGTGAAAGAGTTAACATTCAACTAAGCTGATCTGCACTTCTGATCCATTACATTTCTCACAAGCTGCCCTACAATGAGCTGAGCAAGTATCAACTGTAATTTGATCCCAGAGTTTATGGAAAAAAATAACTGCACATACTCAACATGCACATTTAATAAAAATCTGTTTCAAGAGAAACATATCCAATAAACACAATTTAAGGCATATTTAACCGTTCGATTAACTTCAAATCTGCAATCCTTTTGCTTTCTTCATGCTCTCAAAATAGTGGGGGGAAAAAGCAGCAGCCCTACTGCAGGGAAAAGAAGCTTGAAAAACAACTTTGATTGGCACTTGGCCTGACCCACAGAGGAAGAAAAACAGTTTTTGGACAAAGAGCGCAAATATTTGAGCTTGCTTACTTACATGCTTTCTTTTATTTTTAATATATAAATAACAGTCCCAATTGCACTGTATTTGGAGAAACTGACTAAAAACGGTGCCGTATTCGTCTTAGCCTTTCAGTCCCCATGCATTTGCACAGCTCAGCAATTTTAATTCATTTGTACTGGACAAACAGAAGCACCTCAACTACTGTTTCCGCTTAATGAAATGTAAAAATACAGTTTGGAGAAAAAGAAAGTGATTATTATATTACCCAGTGGAGGCCGTTCAAGTCTGATTAAAAGCTTTTCTCGGTCTAAAGCGACATCTTCTCATTCCCCTCCCCCACCCCTTAACGGAGTGATTAAGCCAAGTAAGCTAAACAATTCTGGAGTAAACTTTCTATCAGTCACTCGGGGAAGCAATAAGCTGATTTGTACGTCTGATTTTTCTGGACCTACACGGGGCGGGGGCCGGGGGGGGGGTACTGCTGAGGAGTGATAACCCGCGTCCACCTCTGTCTCCACCTCCCCCAACCCCAGAGGAACTGTAAGGTCGAATAGCATTTCCCATGGGCATAAAGTTCAAGCTGCTTTACCAGTTCCTTTTAAGACTGAACTATAGACACAAGACTGCCGTCAGGAGAATGCAAAAAGGCGTGTTAAGGGAGAGCGCACAAGAAAGGCAGAAACGACCGAATAAACAAAACCCACCCCCGCCAAGAGTTAGCCACAGAGCAAAGAGGGAGCCAGGTTCCTCAAGACCAGACCAGGCTGTTCAGATTCCGCACCGACCTCCATCCACAGCACCCGGAGGAGGATCGCTCCCTCTCTCCGCCCGAAGAGCAGGCCGGAGGTGGCAAGGCAGGGAGGTGAGCCGAAAAACAGACTACTGGCAGCAAAAAGAAAATCGGAAAAAAAAAATCCCCAACCCCTCGGGACTAGCATCTGTCCCGGCGGAGATAAAACGCAGCAGTGCAAACCTCCACCCTCAACCCACGCCCCCTTCTTCGGTCCCGGCGTGGGGAAGGTGCCCGGGGATCCCTTTGAGCCTCGCCCCAACAGTGCGCCCCGGGGCCGAGCAGCCCGAGCCCCGCCGGCAGGAAGCGCCCCTCTCGGGCTGGACCCCAGGCCGAGCCCGTACCTTCCGCAGCACTTTCCGGCAGTTGGTACAGAGCAGGTAGTTGGCGGCGGCCGACGGGCTGCTGCCGCCCCGGTTCATCGTGGCTGCGGGCGCCGAAGGAGAGGACGGACGGCGGGGCCGGGGCCGGGTATCACTGCGGCCGCCCGCGCCGCTGCGGAGTCGGACCGTCCCCCTGCCGCCGGCTGCGCTTCAGCCTCAGCCTCCCCCGGGCGGAATGTCGGGATGGGAGGCGACTGCCCGAGAACGAGCGGCGCTGCCCGAGGTGACCACCGCGGCGGCTGCCGAAGCGCCGGCGGAGACGGCGGCGGCTGCTCCTCACCGGCCCGTTGTTCCTCCCGCCCCCATCCTCCAGACCCCCGCCCCCGCCAGGCTAGGACGAGCAGCCGCCACCGCTGCCGCCGCCTCCGCCGCCGCCGCAGCGCCTCAGTGCGGCCCCGCCCCCGCCTCCCCACCACCTTCACCACCTCCACGCTCCGGTACCGCCCCCTCCCGCCATTCGGACAGCCCCGGCCACGCCCCTGGGCCTCTAGCCCACAGCCAATGAGCAACCAGAGCCCGGTTGGGAGCCACGCCGGCCAATCACAGAGGCCGAGGACGCCTTGAATCTCCGGGCAAGTTAAGTTTATCTCCGAGGCTCGGAACTGGAGAGAGATGGCGGCTTAGTTAGGTAGTGGGGTGGAAGGGAATACAGTTTGCGCTGCCCCGCCAATAGGAGGAAGAGGGTGTGTCGTATGCAAAACATCCCTGGAAGCCCAGCCCCTCCCCGAAGACAAGCCACGCCCCCTTCTCCAGGTCCCTGCAAAAATGGTAAGGAGAGTGAGATAAAAAACTGGGAGCTAGAGCCTCGCGAGGGTCTCAGACTGAACTAAATATTTCCTGGTTTCTTGAGAAAGGCTGGGGACGGGAGAGAGGCGGTAGCTAAAACGTTCACACTATCAGGGCAGTGATTAGGCTTTCTCTTAGCCAGAATCATAGCTTAGCTGTAAAGAAGACTGCAGTCACGTAATGCTTGCCATCCAGGGATCTCAGAGAACTTTCTGCATCATGTATCTTGCTTGAGCCTTGTTTTGCAAAAGACCAATTACCTGAGTCTTGGGTGGGGAGGGGGGGAGGGGTAGACGTCTGAAATATATTTACGCCACTAATTGAGTTGTGTGTGGTGGTGGGGGGGTGGACACAAAACCTCCGGTTTAGCGGTTTTCTCCTCCATCTGAAGTACCTTCTCGCAGTCCTTTCAGCAGTGAAAGTTCCTTTATTTGTCCAGCACGAAAGGGCCAAAAAGACAGGTTTATCCTCTCACCCAACGGTCCTTTCTGAGACAGTTGATCAGAAACATGGAGAACACAGAGCCTTGCTCGGGAAGAAAGGTTCAGAGAACAAATCGTCTGTAAACTATTGGGCTGGACTTGCCTCTTCCAAAGCTAAAAATGGTGAGTCAGGATTTTGGCGTCCACGCTCTAGGGAGAGAGGGCACATCTAATTGGGGAAAGCTCTGGCTGGCAGAGTTTGGGGGGGTGGACAGGCGAAGGGGTAGCCAAGTCTCTCGAGGAGGCCAGCAACGCGCGTGCGGGTCCAGTGCGGGTTCCCGACGCGAGACGCCCGGAAACCTGCTCCCCAGTGAGAACAAAGGCAGGCGCCGAGCGAGAACCTGATTGGTGCCGGGTCCCCACCGGTGTCCTCCTGGCCCCGGAGACAACTTGCTTCACCCACTGGCGCGGAGCTCCGTGCTCACTGGAGCCCGAGCTCCCCACCCGCCCCTGGCTGTGACCACACAGGACTGTGCGTTATGACATCACCTGTTTTCGCTCTTCAGAACATGATCTGTATTCTCAGCTTCTCCTTTTTTAAAGGTCCTTAGTGGGCCGGGATTTGTGAAGGCCTGCGGTCCGCAGAATGAATCTGGAGATGATGTAAAAGAACTGTTTCACTGGTTTGCATTTTTCTTTTCTTCCTTTTCTTTTTAATTAAAACACACACACACACACACACACACACACACACACACACACACACGAACAAACAAACAAACAAACAAAAAACCCTGGTTTCCTTAGGGATTCAGTGTGGTGTTGTAATGCAAAATCAGAAAGGTACACTTGGAGGAGCTAGCAAGTTTAGCATATCAAAGCTATTAGGCCAAATTGTGTGGTTAAAACGGTCAATCTCATTTTTCAACAGCTGCCTCCTCTGTCCCTTTTAGAGACCAACACACATACACCAAAATCTACACAAGGAACAAAGGAAGTGGAAATCTGCCAGTGCCAGGTTTTATTAGATTAAAATCGACTGGAAAACCCCTGAAGGGTCTGAGTTTTGTGGTTGGGTAAATGTGTTGATCCATTTAACTAGTGATAGCCAAAGATCCCTTGATGCTGTTGTAGACATATATAACCTAGAATAGCAATGGTGTGGGGAAGGTGCTTAACGGTCAGAAAGTGTAACAGCAAGAAGATTAGGTAAGGAGAGAAATCACCACCTGCTCTTCAATGCAGAGAATGGAGAAATCCAGGGAGAAAGTTAGCAAGGCACAGTTTTCCTAAGAACTGAAACACATATGTGTCCCCATTTAGTGGTAAATTTCTTGGGCTATGTTCCTGGCTGGTTCTCTCTTGTAAAGCAGATTTTATGTGAATACATTTTAAAGGATAGGAGGTATTGAAGGGTGAAGTGAATTTTTGTGCAGAGATTGAATTTTCTCAGATAGTATTTTAGATTCAAATTGGTTTCAATCATATTCTTCATATAACTTGTCCTCTTAGTAGTTAAAATCCCTTCACAATGATGTTCTTTGAGCTCTCCATAACTAAGTTCCCCAGAAAGGATGGCCAGGAGAGTGTAATCTACAGCTTTGTTTGCTCTGACAAAGATGGCTAAAGGGAGGTTTTAGAGGAATAGCTTCATTGATCCATGTAGGTGACCCAAAAATGGCTCTCTCCACCAAACTCCTCCTAACTTTTGTAACATTAATTATCCAGAGTGACATTTATTTGACATTTAAAGGTGTGCTGCATTGTGACATTTCTTATATTGAACCCTTTTATATGTGTCTATTTTCACCCCTAAAATCTTCAATCCAGTAACTCATTGTCAGCACAAACCTTCACCCTTTCTTTTGGTCCTCACAAGCCCTACTCTCCCACCATCCTTCTCTGTGCTCATGTCAGTGTTCAACTTCTGGATCCTTCCTTTCTCTTCCACTTTTCACCTGGTCTCCCTTTCTTTTCTAACCAGCCTGGATAGCATAAAGAGAATATGACTTAAGAGAGTGACTTGTGAATCCTGGATCACACTCTTAAGAGGGAAGAAAACAAAAAGCAGTTCTTTTGATTTCACAGAGGATAAGGAGAAACTTCCTCCCTTTTGTTGTCTGGTATGTATAAAATAAGAAAGACCTTCAGAAAAGTAAGATATGGGTGAAAATTACAACCAACATTGAGAACTACTTTTTAACTTTCTTATTACAAAATTAGGATGATACTTTATTAACTGACATTGTTTTTAGAAATAATTTTTGCTTGTTTTGAAATATTTCTTAAAAGGTGATACATCCACCCCACACACATAGGATGTTCCACACACATAGGACATTCTTTAGCCATTACCCCATTATTGAACATAGAAGCTGTTTCCAGTTCTTCATGGTTATAAATAATGCTATGATAAGCCTCCTCATACATAAGTTTCTGGCAGCCCCTCTGATTCCTAGATATGGAATTTCTAACTGAAAGGATGTGAATATGTTTTAAGGCTCTTGTTACAATTTGCTAAAATATTTTGTGGATAGGTTTAACCAATTTGCACTCATCCCACAGTGAATGAGAACACAGGGGAGAGAATCATTTGGAAAGCACACATCTGAACTGTCACTTGCCGGCTTCAGGCCCATAAATAGTCCATTTACCTCCACTTCTAATGCTTTCCTTGCCCTTCTGCCTGGTGATTTTCATCTCCTGTTGAAAGATCTTCTGGTGGGGGCGCCTGGGTGCTCAGTGGGTTGGGCCTCTGCCTTCGGCTCAGGTCATGATCTTAGGGTCCTGGGATCGAGCCCCACATCGGGCTCTCCCCTCGGCGGGAAGCCTGCTTCCCCCTCTCTCTCTGCCTGCCTTTCTGCCTGCTTGTGATCTCCCTCTCTGTCAAATAAATAAATTAAAAAAAAAAAAAAAGATCTTCTGGTGGAGTCAAGCACTTGTCCAAGTGTCTATGGTGTCACCCTCTTCTTATCTCTTCTTTAGCACAATCTCAGTATTGAAATGATTGGCTTAAATTCTGTTTTCTCATTAGATTGTGAACACCTTGAGGGCAGGGATGAAGTTACATTTACTTTGTATTCTCTTTTTCTCTTCATCTTCATCTTCTTCTTCTTTTAAGACTTAATTTATTTATTTGGGGCGGGAGCAGCAGAAAAAGAGGGAGAAGCAGACGGGGCTGATCCCAGGACCCTTGGGATCATGACATGAGCCGAAGACAGATGCTTAACCAACTGAGCCACCCAGGCACCCCTACTTTGTAGTCTCAATTCCTAGCTCAACAGGTAGAGAAGTGCTTTAAAAATCCTGGAAAAGAATAATGATTTATTTTATTTCCAAGATTTAGAAATCTTGGAAAAAAATAATGTGTTACTTTCCTAAATACACCATTCATTCTTCAGGGTATCTTTTGAATCTCGAATAACAGTGATAGCATCTTATAAAAGGGCCCCAGTAAATATTTGTGAATTGAGCATTTCACAAAACCATTGCTTCAGAGCAGATTGGCTGGATTCATGTCCTTACCTATCACCAATTCCTTGTCTGACATTGAACATAATGATTACTATGACTGGGCCTTGCTCTTGCCTTTATAAAATGGAAGTTCTTGCCAGAAACTCAATGTGTAGGGAGGGTTGGGGGCTATTTTTCCTGTTCAGTAATTTTGAAAGAAGGTACCCTGTTAATAACATGCTGTGACTTTTGGACTTGAAATTGTTTACTTCTCTAGATATTCTCCTACTGACCTAAGAACTGGGCCTCATTATAGTTCCTAAATAAGGATTCAATTGAAAAAAATCAATTGCTAAAGATATTTTTAAAATTCCATTTCTTGAGACAATAGGTCATTTTCTAACATTTTGCCTTCTCAGACTTCTTTTTCCTTCTCCCTGGGGCACCCAAAGCATTTGGATAGCAGAAAGTCCTGCATTATTTACAAATTTGCAAATACTGTAATTTGTTTTGTGCACAAAGGAATTTGCACTTCACACAATTGTAAATTGATTGCTCCCTTTGAGCTGTTAATTAGATTCCTGCTATTTTTTTTTCCCCAAGGCCCAAGACCATTACTACTCCAAAGGAGAAATTAAGAGAATCTGATCCAAAGGGGCTATGGCTTTTGTGCCCATTTCCATCCCACACCCAGAATCACCCACCCCCACCAAGAAAATTCTTACTGAAGCTCATTTTTCAAAGAACCACTATTCTACCAAGATCCAAATTTCTGTCCGTTGTTTCTTGTAATTTCCCATTTCAGAGTTCCCTGCATTTAACTCCATACAAAGCAGACATCCGGGGAGAGGCCTACGGATGGTGGGATTTGTTGTTGTTTGTTTGCCTCCACAATGTGAGCCAGCACAGGGTTTTTTTTTTTGAAAAAAAAAAAAAAAAAAGAAACTTTAAAATTTTTACAAGTGAGGAGATTTTACACCCCAAGTCTAGATTTCCAGTTTCTCTTGAAAAATTGTGTGATCTGGTCACACTAAGCTCCTTTTGCTAGAGCCCAGTACCTGCTATTTGGGTTTGAAGTACTCTCTACTTTACCAAGGTCACTGTCACTTCCTGGGGGTTACATTTTGCCGCTGTATTTATGTTCTCTTTTTGCCATGTGTAGGGATTTGCAGCCTCTATAAACTTTCTTCGGCATCTCCATCACTAATCTGCTGATTGCCATTCTTACCTTTATCACAGAATATGAATCAAAATAAATTTGCCATCTCTAAGGGACAACCAATGTTGAGGACAGGGATCAGATGCACGGAAAATCATACACAGGTACATGCCCTCACCAACCCCCTCCACATCTCCACCAAGAAAATTCTTACCAGAGCTCGTTTTCCAAAGAACACATACATACTCCACTAAGATCCAAATGTGTCTGTGTGTACAATGGGATTATATGTATGTGTGTGTGTATCCCACAAGTTGGAGGACAGATGTCTAAGCGGGTTACTATGTCCTTTATGCTGCTAACCCCAGTCTTTAATTCTGCCCATGTACCCATTCTAATTGTAACTTTAGGATAGAGGGACCACAGAGAATATGGCAATAGTAGAAGGACATTGAAAGTGTTTTCTTTAATGGACATTTTCATGTAGAGACTAAAAGCCCTGGCCCTAGAGTCAGGCTTGGGCCGTTGAGTACTGACTTTGCCCCTTGTGAGACACATGACCTTGGGCAAG